AGGTTAACAGTGCAATAGCTCAATCGCAACCTGGGTTAAGATATAGATATCCAATTATAGATTACACATTAAGTATTCATAAACCAGTTCAGCCTTAGGGGCTGTTCTGAGGCCCAGCATGACCCATGGGAGCCTATCCACTCAGTTGCCATCCTTGAGGCTGGCCCGGAGGACAGCCTTCATGGAGTGATGGAATAGCTCACACAGCCCGTTGGACTGAGGGTGATAAGCAGTAGTACGGTGGAGCTTCACACCCAAACAGTCTGCCACGGCAGACCAGAGCTCCAAAGTGAACTGCGAGCCATGGTCAGAGGAAAGATCTAACAGGGTGCCGAAATGGGCAACCCAGGACCCAATGAAGGCATGAGGCACCTCCATGGATGTAGGAGCTGAAAGTGGAATGGCTTTGGGCCCGCGGGTGGTTCTGTCTACCTTGGTGAGGAATGGGAGAGAGGCAAGGGGCCCACCAAGTCGAGGTGGACATGATCGAACCTCCTTTCCGGGATTTGGAACTGTGCAAGGGGGGCCTTAGTGTGACTATGGTCCATGAGGTGTTGGAAAGTCTGTGTGGCATTTTTAAGGCCAAATGGCATGTGCAGAAACTCAAATAAACCAAATGGGGTGATCACTGCCGTCATAGGCATGCACCTGGAATGCACCTGGTGGTATCCCCAAATGAGGTCAACCTTGGAGAAAATACTTTTCCAGCCAGGTGTAGGAATTATTAGCTCAGGTAAATTTTAATATCGCCACCAATATGTTTGAATTAATTAAAGTTTAATTAATTATTATTTAATGCTGATTATTAATCAATTGTTATACCGAATGGTCGACTCCTCCAAACTCGATTGCGGTATCCCCGTGAGTCTGTTTGTCACGCCCCGCTCCGTCCGATCCTAACGTGTGCCACGCCCCCTCGTTAACCTCATGTGGAATCCCAGTGTTTTACAGCTGTTTCTGATTGTTGTCATTAGTTCATTGTATTTAGTCCACGTCTGTGTTAGTATCCCCAGTCCGGTCATTGATGTTGTATCGTTGCGTGCTTTGTGCTGTCGTTAATTAAAACCTGTGTTCCTGATCCCTGGCTTCCTGCCTGTTTGTACGCGCCGTAAAACTGTTAATGTGAGACTCAAATGGGATTCACTAATTACCAGTATCACTTAGTAACCTGGGTTAGAAGGCTCGTCCACCGAGCTGCGTCACCAGGTAATGTAAAAGATTGGTAGGGAAGCTCCCCTCTCGGCCGAGGAGAGAGAGTCTCGCGATGTTTCAGGTGAGTTTGA